AATTAGTCAAGTAGAAATTATTTCCTAGAAATTCAAAAAAGCTGAAAATTATTGCACAATAGTAAAACAGTTTTCAGGATCACTGAGATGCCATGTTTTTGTAACTAAAAAATTTTTCTTATATCAAAATGACAAGTTTTCTGGATAGCCCAGGATTCAAGAGACGGAGTGCAGTCGTTCTGCTGTTTGAGGCAGTTCGGCTAAAAGCACTGTCTTCCCGGTAGCTGCTAACTGGTGCATGTACAGCCCTGCGCCATGCCTCGCTAAATCCTCGAATACTCAGACTGTCAGGAGAAGATGCTGTGCAGTACGGTGAGAGTGATTTGAAGTTATCGCAAAAATAGTAGTAGTCAGCCTGTTCATTGGACAGAAGGCTGGCTCGAAGCCACGCCCTGCATTTGCACTTGAGCCGTGTTGCGAAGCCGAATTCAGGATGACTCCACCCCTTCCCCCCGCCCACCAGCATAGTCACCTTCTGCGCCTCACACTCCGATGAACAATGCACCGGCAAAGAGGGCCCCTGCATCGCTGTCGATTAACTCAGCAATATTTCTACTAGATCGATTACAACCGGTGCGCCTTTGGCGCGGTTGCACAGTGGTAACTGGCAACTTCTGGATGCGGTAAACTGGATTGGCAGCCTCCTTCTTTTGCTGGACTTCTCCTGCTGGAGGACCGGTCCTTTTCTCGAGTACCATACAGATGCTCCATCCTGCTCGAAGTTCACCCAGCACCTCTTTTATACCACAGCTAAAAATCGTTTATAACTGGTTTACCGGACAGTCGCTGCTTGGCATTTTACCGCGCCCCCAAGTCAATGCAGTTGACGTTGTCGATTTTCCAGTGATGGCGATGACACAGATGATTAATAATAATAACAATGATCATGTCTGCGATAACGCTGATCAGTTTGTTCAATCTGAACTGATAATAGTCATTAAAAAGAAGGGCTGAGTTTGAGCCAGGTGTCGGTGCTTCAGCGTTACTACTGAAACGGTATTATCAGGATGATCAAATGACGAGTGGCATAGCGCGGGCGGGCAGAGAAATTAAATCATCGTTATCGCGGGTTGTCGCTTGTAGATGATACAATGATACGCGAGGCCACACTAACCATGGAGCCCTCTGGATCCGATCTAATCAATTTGCACTTAAATCTTCAACGACTAAAACCCTCTTCCCATAGTAGAATGATATTTTCTTATCTAGATCAGATAATCATGACTATTATTATTGTAAACCGATACACTGGTTTTTCCAATAAACCGCATTTGCACTAGAGTGCTTGACGAACCTAGACAGCGCTGCTCTATTTCTGTACGATAGTGAATTTGTACGAAAAGCGCTTTGTCATAAATAGCACAGGTTGTCTGTCTGAAACTTGGACTGGGATGTTACCATGCGCTCTGATTTAAGGTGGACATTCCGAAGCTTGCGGGGGAAAAGCAAGACATTTGGCACACTGGGCCGCCCAGGCAGCTAGTTGGTAACGGCCGAAAGAGCGGAAGCAGAATGTATGTGCGTGCAGGCACATACATAGCAGGAATTGGAATGGACGTTGGGAGGGCACAACTTTCCAGGAGCAGATTTTCCCGAATACAGCTGGAAATGTTTGTTAGGTGAGTGTAGCAGCGCCGGCATGGCGCCGCTTCTTAATATGCATGTTTTTTTCCGTGAGCATCATACAACAAGCTTTTCCAATGAACCGCCCGCACTGGGAATGTGTGCCTGCCCTACTCGCATAAGCCATCAGACTTATGCTTCAAGCGCTCCCTCGCCGTTTGTTCTGCTGGTTTATTACCCTAGTCGTTCTCATTAGACTCTTAATTGTTCTGTGGTCAGTTATAATCTAGAAAAAAGTCGTTTCATTCTGATCCCATGGGCGATCCGTCGTGGCAAAATTTTTGAAGTTAAGAAAGGAGTTAATTGAATGTGCAAACGTTATAAGACGTATTTTGCTCGGACTCGGTAATTGTGGAGATAATCGCTGGCAGTGAGTAGCTCAAAACATTTTAACGGATTAGACGCGCTAAATCGCTCAAGCCACAGTGACACTGCGTGCAAGAATAATCAGTTCGAGCTTCCAAACGTTCATGAGCAGACCTTTTTATTATTTCCGGTTTTTATGCTTTTTTTAACATCTGTTCAATGCAAAAACGCATACTGTGGAAGGGTTGTGTGTGTGTGTGTGTGTGTGTGTGTGTG